CACATACGCCCCTGTTGGCAGAAGAGATTCCACAGGGCGTATGTCAGGATTAGTGCTGGTAGCAGCGTGTTAGACGCCTCTCTGACTTCTCTAGAGGAGGTGTTTGTAAGTAGTTATATCACTATATTTTCACACCCTCTCTGCATGAGTTCAAGAGGTTACTTGATATCATCAGGATTGTTTTCTTTTTGCCAAACTAGAGAATATGAAGTGATACCTTGTTGAGGTTTCAAGGCGTAGTCGCTTCATTATCAATGAAGTTGAACGTTTTTTCATAAAGTGATTGGTCATTTGTGTGTCTTCTTCTGAAAATTCCACATCTGTTATACCATTTTTCTACTGAATAATATCTTTTCTTATAAAATCTCGTTATATATTCTATATAGCAATCCTTGGTCAGTTTGCAAATAACTTTTCAATCAGTGACTCACCTTTTCATTTTCTTTATTATGTCACTGGATGAACCTAAATTTTAGTTTCATCATATTAATTTTAACATAGTTGAATTTATCAATGTTTTCCTTTATAATTTGCATTTTTTGTGTCTTATATTAGAAAGCTTTACCTCAACATCAAGAGATGTTCCCCTATGGAATCTCTGCTAAAATACTTTGTTTTCATTTTAAGTCCTTAATTCTCTTTGAAGAAATTATTATATGTGGTGAGTATTCATTTTTAAAATATAGCTAAACAATGTGTCAGCACTATTAACTGAATAGTATCTTTTCCACCCAGACCTGAAAGGCCAGCTCTGTCATAAAATTCCATCTCTATGTAATTATTTCTAGATTTTACACACAGTCCACTCCATCGGACTATTTGTCTATTCTGGTGCCAATATAATAACGTCCTAATATTATGTCTTTATAATAAGTTGTAACATCTGACAGGGCCTATCATCTCACTTTGATACCAATCTTAGTTATATTACCTAGAAGTTTGTGTTTTGCCAAAGTTTTTAAAATCATAACCACAAAGTTGTATACAGTGCCCTCTCATTATGTTATTTCATCCCTGTAATGTCTATAGATACCATTCCTAACACTGGTTATTTGTACATTCTCTTTTTTCTTTTTCTGTTTTCCTTTTTTCCCCCAGTTTTTGGCTGGGGCCAGGTTTGAACCTGCTGCCTCCGGTATATGGGGCCAGCGCCCTACTCCTTTGAGCCACAGGTGCCGCCTGCATTCTCTTTTTTCTTGATCAATCTTGCCATTAGTGATTTCATTAACTTCTTTTTGTTCTTTCTTTTCTGACTTCAGTTGTCTGCTTATCTCATTAACTTCAGCCTTTCTTCTTTTTTAATATAAATATGTAGGATTATAGTTTCCAGTTAAATACCACTCTCACTGTACCCTGAAGTTTTGATATTTAATATTTTTTCCATTCATTTATAAATATTTTCTAGGCTGTAGTAAGTTTTCTTCTTTGACCTATGACTTATTTAAAGCATGTTTTCTTTTTTTAATTTCTAGATAAATCAGAGTTTTCAGGTTATCTTGTTATTACTTTCCAACTTAATTTCACCGGGATTAAAGAAATTAACCTACATAAAACACATTCTTTGAAATTTATTGAAAATGACTTTATGCTTTGGTATGTGGTCAGCTTGTATCAATATTCTATATGTTCTTAAAAAGAATGCGGGCTCTGAAATTGTTCCATGCAACATCTTTTCTGCATATAAATTCTTTATATTAAGCTTATTACTTGTGCTCTTCTTTATTGGGCCTTTTTTCCTCTATGAAACACACACACACATATATTTTATATATATATATATGTGTGTGTGTGTGTATATATATATATGTATATATATAGATATAGATATTTTTTTTTTTTGAGACCGGGTCTCACTCTGTCACCCAGGCTGGAAGACAGTGGTACGATACTAGCTCACTCCTGGGCTAGATGGAGTGAGGGATGGATCCTCCTGCCTAGGCTTCCCCAATAGCTAGGACTAGACATATGCATCACACCCAGCTAATTTTTTTTTCTTTTTTCTGTAGAGGTAAGGAGGGTCTTACTATGTCCAGCAGGCTGGTCTCCAGCTTCTAATCTCAAGAAATCCTCCTGCCTCACCTTCTGAAGTGCTGGGATTATAAGCATGAGCCACCACCACTACAATAAACCAGCTACT